ACAGCTCCGTTCTCCAGAAGGAAAATGCAACCAGTGATCCTGCGCTTGATTCTCTACAGCAACATCAAAAGGGACTCACTGCTAAAATTATTAAACTTAATTTGTATCTGTGCGAAACAAGTTTCTTTAGGAAAAAAAACTATCTTTAAAACGGAACACTAGAATCCTCGCTAGATAATCCATCATCTCTACCCTACAAAACCATGGTCATACTCTTGATCTGCTGGTTACAATTAATCCATGTTAACTGTATTGTAATTTACGAATTCTGGAAGTGGAGGAAGTTCAGCCAGTGCAGCCTGCGTGAAGATGGTGGTAGAAATGTGCCAGCAAGGCTCAATATCTCCAAGAGCCTACCTAAAAGTTTTATATTTTCTCTCACATAAGTGGGCTACCCAAGTAAGTTAGAATCACAAGTATCTGTTCTGTTCTTCATATCAGTTTTCTGTTCTTAATTTTGTTAACACTGGACATATATAATGATTGGTCTTGTGGAAGAGGGTGTATGCATGTGTCTGTGCACCATGCACAAGTCTGTGCATGTGCATGTGGAGGCCAAAGGTCAATGTGGAGTGTCATCCTCTCCAACATCACCCCCTTCCCTTTTTTTGGACAGGATCTTTCATTGACTATACTAACTAATTTGAACTTGGGTTCTCACGCCTGTTCAGCAACACAGTTTACCCACTGACCACCTTCTCGCAGCCCCACCCCATTGGTCTTTGATGCTATCATGAAGTTATGCAAAGCCTCAAATGAGACCACGCTGTGTGCCCCTGCTAGTCAACGCTCCTGCATAGCCAGGCCACTGAGAGACCCTGGTTATACATCAAGATGTCCCAGAAACTGTGGCACAGGGAGCCAGGTGTCGACAGGTAGGACACTAAGGTCCTCTCCCTGGAAATGAGAGTTGTCCCTTTATATGTATGGATATGCTTTGGAGGGCTTTTTCTCAACCACCCCTCACAGACCATTAAAGTGAATGCTTTTAAATAAGGGAGAAGCATGGACCCTGCTGTCCAAAAGGGAAGGTGGATGGAAAACGCACTTTCATGCTTTTCTGGCTTTATGAGGCACATCAAGGAGGGAAGTGCCAACAAATGAGCGGTGCTGGGCGCACACTGCTTACCACCAACGCCCTTTGGGGTTCTAGATGAAGAATGGAGGCAATGCCTGCCTCTCACAAGAATGCAGTACTGTGAAAAGGTCACTGGCTTACAAATCAGCAGCCCTTTGGTTGCGACCCCAGTTCAGCTACTTTCTTGAAGGCCATGCTCAGACAACTTACCAAGTTCCTCCAAGCTTTTTTCTTCCCTGTGGGTAAACACCATTTACCTTTCAATCTCATAGGCTTGTTCCAAAGACATGATTCAGATTAAAACAAAGTAAGCACATTTAAGCGAGTATACAAGTGCAAACTTGCAACAACATGAAACTTAGTCTACATTATTTTTGCTCAGATTATACATTTCACACTAACTTTTAAAAAAAAAATTAGCTTGTTTCTTTGCCTGCTGAAAGAAGCCAAACACAGAAAAGTTCAATTCTAGCCTTGCAACTCACTCCAGCCTCACTATTCCCTCTAACCCTGTGATTCTGTTTGGGTGATGGAAACTGCACCCATTCTCAGTCACAGTGTTGGATGTTAGGCATGAGGTCCAAGGCAATCAGGATGATCCTAGCTGCTACCACAGTAACTGCTTCAGGAAGAAGTTAGTGTTGAAAGTGTGTCTCAGTGGCTGTACAGACACTCTTCCCACTCGGGCAAAGGAAGCATGCAACCCTGAGAGTTGCAGGCAGCCATTTAGTTGTCATCAAAGCAGAGTGAAGCCAAAGCTTAGAAAAAAACTGAAGAAAATGAGCCACTGCTTTGATGACATCATGATGCTCTGTAGTAAAGTGTATCCCAAACTAGTATCTCCTGCAGAGTTTAATAAGGTGAGACAACACATATTCGTGATAGACGTTGAGTTTGTCTGTCCATTCTTACTAGAAAAAAAATGTTTCCTATCTTTTAATAGCTTAATCCAAACGAAGCTTCCATTATCCCTGTAAACGTCAGTTTCTTGGTGTACAGTGGGAGTGGGGGTAATAGTCATCTACCCTATGCGAGAGTGCAGTGAGACCCAACAGTGCTTTTGGCGCCGTACTTAGCACAAAGCGAGCATCAATACAAGTATGTGAACTATATTGTGCAAGGAGCTCCAGCCTACACTGAGTGCTCTATGTGCACTTCTCACTTAAAAATTGCTTCAGTATCTGCGGATTAACTATGCCCGTCTTACCAATGAAGAGATGATGAGGGCCTGGAAATTTCTTGGGACTTGCATGTACTTCTCGACTTTAAGGCAGAAACTTCACAAAGTATGGTTCCTTCTCTTTCAAGAATAATTTTTTGAAAAGCTGATTTATATTGATTATACAATGGAAATAAAATATTAACTGAATGCCTATAATGTGCCAAGCACTGTTAGTATAAACATATAGTGATAAATACATACATCTGGATTACAGGGGATTTTAAGTTTATACCTGGGCCCTATTGTCTTCATAATCCTAACAGCTGAAGCTAACTGCCCAACATCTAGTGAGAATTTTTTTTTTTTTTAGAACAAAGAAGTGTTATAAGAATATGTTTTTGTTTTAATCCCAGATGTGGAATATGGGGCTGCTTTAAATTGTCCACAGTAGCTGACTATGATCTGCTTTGTGCTCTGGCTGAGGCATGATTTTGTCAGCTGAACTCTTCAGAGAGTGCATAATGCCAGAGACCCAAGAGAGGTGGCAACTGCTGCTCCCCTGATGCTGTTGCTGGTTGTTGTTTGCTCCTGATGCTGCTGCTGTTACTGTTTGCTGTCTGCTGGATTGCAGTTGGAGATATCCTGACTACGAAGATAGAATGTACTCCCTTTATCAGTCTAACAATATCAAGGACCCCTTCCCACTATAATGTTCTTTCTCTCCAACCTAGTGCTGGAGGGTTGAAAGATATAGGGGTGGTGTAGAGACAGGGAAAACAACCCAATAAAGCAGCTAAAAGTCGCTACACCAACATCTGCATGCAGGAAGAACACAGACAATAACAGGAGAAGTTATACAATGAAATGTGCATAACACTTGAGAACTTGAATGTATCTTACAGTCAGCTGCTTTTTAATTTCTCCCAAGAGGCTCCAGAACATCCTGAGGTGAAATCAAATGCTTCTCTGCATGATTCTACAGCTTAAAAACTTTCACATATACCAAAAGACATTACCTTGAATGTATCCATGTTGTTTCTGACATGTCAACTTGTATGTAATTTCTAATACGTCTAAACAGTACAATTAGTTTTGCCAGAAGGACAGAAGAAAAAAATAAGACCAGGGACCACAGTATACTATTTTCTTAGAAACTCTTCACGGAAATCAAATGGTATGCTTTACTGTTTACCTGTGGGTGACATTCTCCAAATGTCTTTATACATTATGGGGTGCCTCTTATAAAACTTTACAGTAGTGTAAAGAATGACAACATGGATAGCAGCTACTGTGAAACTCCTCTTATAACTGTTGTTTTGTGTGCAGATCAAGAAATAGTTTATAAACAAGACATAACGAGCCCAGGAAAACAAATAGGCTCAAACCTGTCTTCTTGACAACTAAGCATCAGGATGCATGCCAAGTAACACGAGCTTTAGAGGCGGGAGACCTGTTCTGTCACACTACCTTACCCCAAGTTTTTCATGACGATTGACAAAAGGATGGAAGACAATTTAGAAAGCCATCCGGCAGACAGCATAATGGTCTCTGATTTTACACTTAAATGATGTTCACCTATACTGGAGCTAACAGATAATCAAGAATGCTCCTTGTCTTTTTATAGCTTTGTTGTTGGTATGTGAGAGTTGTGCAAATGGACAAACTGTAATCAGAGATATACTTTTGTTCTTTCTAGGTAAGAGACACTGGACACATTATTAAGCCTCCCCAAGCCCATTCATAAACATAAAATGAAAATATAACTTACCTATGACTTTGGAATAATTGAAGTAAAAAGGCACTTGGTTCAGGGTCTAGCCAGATGGTTCGGTAGTTAAAAACACTTACTGTTCACTTCAGGTTCAGTTCTCAGAACCCATATCAGGTTCACTACCACCTATAGCCCCAGCTCCAGGGATTGAACACCCTTTCTGGCCTCCTTGAACACAACCTATAACCCCAGCTCCAAGGATCAGACACCCTTTCTGGCCTCCTTGAACATCACATGCACCTGCTTATACTCCCCACTTAGATACTTAATTAAAAGTAAAACAAATCTTTTAAGGGTTCAGCTCATAGCAGTTACTCATAAAATGTATTTTCTTGCATTTTTAATTCTCCAACAAAGTATCTATTTAATGTCTCCCAAGAAACCATCCATCTAAAAGAAGAAACCTATGATAACTTTAAGAGTGTAAATAAAACCAAAACACTGAATGACTCATGTTTTAAAATTTACCTCCATTCCTACACAACACAGTCATCAGCTTTTGCTTCACTGGGGAAGTACCTTGAACACCTTCACCCAGGTTCTCTTGGCCCCGGGCCCTGCCTGTCAGCCAGTGAGGAGCTGGAGAGCAACACTCCCTCCTTCCTCTGTGGGCGAGAACAGTGAGACTAGAGCTTGTCCTCTGGGAGCCTCCAAATCCCCACATCACCACGGCATGAGGACCACCCTCCATCCTGCAGTATTTATGTACTGTACTCGCTTTGTCACAAAGTGACCTGGACTGCAAGCAGCACTTCCTGTGCCTCTGAACGGAAGCTGCCTGCAGCTATTTCCTTTGCGAGTTCTCCCTCAGGCCTCCTTTCCGACACTCCCCTACACCCCAGTGCAGACCATCACTTTCGGACTATCAGTTTCCCATTTCATAACGACCCAGAATCCAAAACCCAATTTAGGCTGAGCAGGACGCTCTTTATAATAATTACTACACTAGGGCCTGACTCCAAATCTAAAACAAGAATGGATGACAGTGAAATGAGTAATATAAATTTATTCTGTGACGTTTTCCTCATTGGCAGTATTTTAAAATACATCAATATTTCATGAAAGATAAAAATCTAGAAAAATTCAGATAACAGCTATAATATATATGACTTGATCTTGAATACCCATTTTTTTATTTAAAACATCATTTTTAAGAGTTGCATAAAAATGATGAGGGTCACCGTACTCTTCATATACCCCAAGTTTCATACATTTCAGTTCAACTTGCAGTTCTTTTTTCAACTATGTATGTCAGTGGGATCTGCTCCTGCTTCTGAATGGGGAGAGCATCTACCTTCTGCTTCTTGACGGTGATGTTTAAGTCCTCTTTCTCCGAGTCTTCAAGAAAACGCTTCACAGTGAGTTTAAACAGTGACCGCGGGTCTGGTCCGGAGAGCGGTGGGCAGTTACAGGCCTCCCGAAGTTTGAGAGCCTATGAAGAAGCGTACAAGGTAGTTTCCCATACAGTCTGTACAAGACAACCAAAAGTAAGCAAACACGCCTGTACACCTGAATGGGAGTTTAAATAGCTCAAGTATAACACATGAAGAAGAACCACAGGTAGACATATAATCCCTTTCCATGATCTGATCCCACAACTATCACTTTTAAAGCAGCAGCTGTAGAGATGACAATAGCCACATGGTGAGGGAAACAAGTCTCAGAGAGAGCAAACAATCGCAGTCACCCCTAGCAGCAACTAGGAACAATGTAGGATTAACGAAGTTCTGAGGATTCTATAGGATACAAGGAAAATAATAGAATGCCCATGTCTAAACACACCAAAGAAAACAACAACAAAGTTGCTCACAGCTGTGACCTTCTAGGGTGAAATAGATGGTAATGACAGAGAAGGAGCAGAAAATCAAACTTACAACAATTTTTCACTCTAGGGCGAATGAAATGTTGTGGGAAAGGAAGAGTAATTATAACGCACTGTGTAACTCAGTTGTAACTGGTGTTTATAGTTTAAAATACAAATCTTGAATCAACCGAAATCACAATTTAATCCTTTGGGGAAGAAGAGAGCAGCATGTGTGTGCATGTATGGGATATGACAGTGGTGAAAAGAAAGCCTGATCTAGTTCTTTGCAGTGGAAAATAAATAGAAGGCTTAAAACTGCAACGTTAGGAAACAGCAACATAAGCATGTAATTTACATATGCTGGGGAAACCCAAAACAGCATGGAATAGCACAGAGTCACTGCAACACAAGGCAAGCTCTCTGACTGCTGCTCCACAAAACCAGCCCCAAGAACAACCTAGCTCTGTGCAGGCCAAGGAGAAAGACAGATAAACAGACACCAAATGTTTCAGGACAGAGAAAAACTCCACACACTATAAAGTTGGATACACACCATAGCATGTGCCCAAACCTACAGAATACATACCACCATGAATGAAACAGAGGTGGAAGTCAATGCCTATAACTGTATAACTTAGGAGGTAGACTCGGAAAGATCAGATTTCAGGGTTATCCTCAGAATAAGTTTAAGGCTAGCCTGGGCTACCTGAGATCCTGTCTCAAAAATCTATTGAATATATGTATAAAATAAAAAATCTATTACTTTTTAAAAGTTAGCTTAAAAACAAAAGGCTGAAAATTTTGCTTTTGTCTAGTATGCTTTTTATGCTAGTAATTTTGTACCACATGCTTCTTTGAATAAACTTTCTACAGAGTACATGAACTTTGGAAATGTCTGAGCTGTTTCCTTATTCGCCAGAAAAACTAGTCTTCATAAACATTTCTTTTCACCGTTTCCTCATATAAGGACTGATGCATCTTTCCTCTCAAGAAAAATTGTATTACAGATCATTATATATATATATATGATATATATATACATATACATGCAAAATCTTCTGAATAGTAAGATTTAGTTAATATATTGGTAAAATATTTTTCTTGATTTTTGGATTTCTTCCTATATGTTTTATTACATTTCAGTGTGCTAAAAATTTTTCCATTTTATAAATTCAAATCTATCATATTAAATAAATCTTCAAAATTTTCAAAAGTGGGAATTTTCCCCATGTGCACCTAAAATATGCCTTACGCTGCCTTTATTTTCTGTCTGATTGTATATATTGCATGTAATAGGCACTTTATAAACAAAGGCTGGATTTTAAACTATGAATAATCATTTTAACAAATGGTGTAAAAATATTAGGGAGTGTTTGCAATTTATGAGAAAATGGAACAACAATCCAATAGCAAGAATATATAGGTCTGAGGCTCCTGAGGAAGACTGAAAGGAAGTGGGAAGCAGCTAGCCTGAAAGATCCCGACTGCTGCAGAAGTGACAGGCATCCACTCTTCACTCTGTGCCTTGTTCTGCACTCGCAACTTACAGACATTACCCAAGTGTGTGTTATAGTGCAAGCCACTTTTTATCAGTAAAGTGTCAAGAGTTAAGGAAGGTCTTCTTGTGGAGTTCTTGTCCCCTTCGTCCTTCTATCCTTTCCCTCCCTCTTCCACAAGGCTCCCCGCACTCCACCTAATGTTTGGCTGTGAGTCTCAGCATCTGTTTCGATCCACTGTTGGGTGGAGTCTCTCAGAAGTCAGCTATGCCAAGCTTGAATCTGCAAGCATAGCAGAGTAACCTTAATAGTGACAGGGCTTGGCTCTCTCCCATGGGGTGGATCTCAGGTTGGGTCAGGTATTGGTTGGACATTCCCTCAATCTCTGCTCTATCTTTATTTTGGGTGAAAGTTTTGTGGGTGGGTTGGTATTCCCCTCCCCCCACTAGAAGTCTTGTCTAGGTGGGAGGTAGCCTCTTCAGCCTCTATGACCCCAGGTACTAGGAGTCTTGGCTAGAGTCACCCTCATATCCTCCCAGGAAAAGACCAACAGAGTCAAATAACCTGGGCCCAGGGAGCTTATGGAGACTGAAGCACCAACCAAGGGCCATCCATGGACTGGACCTAGCCCCCTACACGTGTGTAACTGATGGGCAGCTTAGTCTTTATGTGGGTTCCTTAGTAAAGGGAGCAGGGACTGTCTCTGATCTTAACTCTGTTTGCCTGCTTTTTCTATCACGTATACCTCTAGCAAGGCTGCCTTGCCTGGCCTCAGTGGAAGAGGATGATGCACCCAGTCCTGATGCGACATGCTATGCTTGGCAGTGTTGTGGAGGGGGAGGGCTCCCCTTTTGTGAAGAGCAGGGGAGGGAAATGGGGAAACAGAGAGGGAGGGTGGGACCAGAAGGAGTGGAGGGAGGTGGATATAATCAGGATGTAAAGTGAATAAAAAACAAAACAAAACAAAACAAGACTTGGGGGGGAAGAGGATGCCAGGGCCTTACCTACAAAGATACACAGGTCTGTAAAGCAGAACTTTGAAGAGTCTGCTAACCTAACATTGCATGGAGAAAAGCAAAGGTTAGACTTTGTACCAAAGTAAGGTCACCTAGGCAGAATTAGAGAAAAGGAGAAAAGATTCCTAAGCTCACAGCTATTTCTAAATTGCCAGTTCCTATGAGCATCTTTTTCTCATTACTGGTTATAATTTCCTACAGCTAAAATCATCTAAGCAGTGCAAGCACTGCTCAGTTCTCCTGCAAAGTGTCCTATTTTTAGCTGTTATGTATTTTTTCTATTATTGTATCTCCTAGGGTCATTTACGTATTCACTAGGCATCTTCAATGCTGTGGAGTCACCACAGACCACAGACAGCAGGGCCATATATTTCAAGGTAGAATTAATCAACCATAAACAAGATCATCCTAGTTTGAACAGGGAGAATGACTGCATGGGAGACAGGCTATCTGACACTGAGGGAGCAGAAAAAGCGTCTTCGGGGAGGTGATGCCTGAGACAGAGAAATCCACAAGTGGAGGGTCTGTAAGGAAGAATCAAGCCTGGTGTGAAATGACTAGAACCAAGAAAACCTTGAAGCAAGACAGATGTAAGCAAGATAGACAGTGGCCAACTCATGTACCTAAAATACCATGGAACTGTGCTGGTCATTTTGACATAAACTAGTCACCTTGAAAGAGGAAACCTCAACTGAGGAATTGCATCCATCAGATTAGACTGAAAAAAAAAAAGACAAAGTATCTAGAACAAGGTCTTATTCTAAGTTACATTAAAAAAAAAGCACTGGAAAATTTTAGGCAAGAACATTTGAAAGATCGTTCTAATTATATGTTGAAAATGGGCCACTGTGGTTCAATATAAAAAAATCCAACAATGTAATCCACCATACAACAAACTGAAAGAGAAAAACCACATGATCATCTCATTAAATGCAGAAAAGGCCTTTGACAAAATCCAACACCCCTTCCTGATAAAAGTCTTGGAGAGATCAGGGATACAAGGCCCATAACTAAACATAATAAAAGCAATATACAGTAAGCCGATAGCCAACATCAAATTAAATGGAGAGAAATTCAAAGCAATTCCACTAAAATCAGGGACAAGACAAGGCTACCCATACCCACTCTCTTCATATCTCTTCAATATAGTACTTGAAGTCCTAGCTACAGCAATAATACAACTAAGGGAGATCAATGGGATACAAATTGTAAAGAAAGAAGTCAAAATATTACTATTTGCAGATTATATGATAGTATACATAAGTGACCCAAAAATTCTACCAAGTACTCCTACAGCTGATAAACACTTTCAGCAAAGTGGTTGGATACAAAATTAACTCAAAAAAATCAGTAGCCCTCCTGTATACAAATGACAGACGTGCTGAGAAAGATTTAGGGATACAATCCCCTTCACAATAGCCATAAATAATATAAAGTACCTTGGTGCAACTCTAACCAAGTTAAAGACCTGTATGACAAGAACTTCAAGTCACTGAAGAAAGAAACTGAAGAAGATATCAGAAGATGGAAAGATCTCCCACACTCATGGCAGTAGGACTAACATAGTAAAAATGGCCATCTTACCAAAAGCAATCTACACATTCAATGCAATTCCCATCAAAATACCAACACAATTCTTTACAGACCTTGAAAGAACAATTCTAAAATTCTCAAATTTGTACGGAAAAATAAAAACCCCAGAATAGCTAAAAACAATCCTGTACAATAAAAGATCTTCAGTAGGTATCTTCATCCCTGATCTCAAGCTATACTACAGAGCAGCAATAATAAAAACTGCATAATACTGACATAGAAATAGACTGGTGGATCAATGGAATCAAATTGAAGACCTAGAAATAAAGCCATACACCTATGGACACTTGTTTTTTTACAAAGAAGCCAACACCATAAAATGGAAAAAAGATAGCATCTTCAACAAATGGTGCTGTTCTAATTGGATGCTGACATGTAGAAAAATGCAAATAGATCCATATTTATCACCCTGCACAAAACTAAAGTCCAAGTGGATCACAGACCTCAACATAAGACCAGACACACGAAATATATTAGAAGAAAAAAAAAAGTTGGAAAGAGCCTGGATCTCATTGGCACAGGA